GAATTGCTTGAACCAGGGAGGCGGAAGTTGCAGTGAGCTGAGATCATGCCACTGTGTGTGACAGAGCCAGATTCCATCTCAAAAAAAAAAAAAAAAAAAAAAAAAGATGAAAGTCAGAGACCCTACAGGGGAGTGAGTTGTAGGCAGCTCTTCCCCAAAAGCATCTTCCTTTCACTTCATTTTAATACACAACAGGGGCTCACACACATTAGCACGAATTTGTGTAAGATATTTTCTCTTTAACAGCTAACTGAAACTGACTGCCCTGAAGGAATAGCAGTTTTGACTGGCAGGGAATAGAAATGTCATTGAGAAGCATGGAGCTCTTCTGGGGTAATAGCAGGCCAGAGATAAGATCCTGGAAGGATTAAAACAGTACAATGTCACTGAGCTCATAAGTGCCAGGAAAGATGGCATTATAAGGTAGACAAAGATGTAGAGAAAGAGTAGAGAGATACCAGAGAAAGGTTTTGTCCATTCTCAGATTTTACGTGGGATTGGCACTGTACCCAAAGCAGCCGAAGAAAAGTCTCTTTCTCCTCCTCCTCCTCACTACGGGATCTCTTCATTTCACAAGTAGTTATTGAATGGCTGCTATTCCAACGGCCACTGCTGTTCCAACTGCCACTGCTGTTATTACTACTTACCATTTATTGAACACTCTCTATGTTGCCAGCTTTATGATTACACTGGTGTGACAATGTCAAATAAGACACTATGCCTGACCCTAGAAGAACTGACAGCCCAGTTGTACAACTTAGCAAATACTATTATAGAATGACATCTAAATCAGATAGGATAGATTCTTGCTTTAGGAAACAGACTTCAGATTTTTATTGTTAGTTCTATAATTCACATAGTGAACTAGTAGTAGCTAATACTTACTAGTGCCTACTATATGCCAGGTACAGTTTTAAGTGCCATTAACACAGAGTCCTTATAACAGCCCTATGAAGTAGATATAATGACTATATCTTCATTTTACTGAGGAAAAAAAACTGAGGCTCAGAGAGAGGTTAAGTAGCTTTCTCAAGATCACACAGAACCTGTGAGCAGCAGAGATGGGATTTGATTACAGGCTTCTGATCTTATGTTCTTATTTATTTATTTATTTATTTTTGAGATGGAGTTTCACTCTTGTTACCCAGACTGGAGTGCAACGGCGCGATCTTGACTCACCGCAACCTCCACTTCCTGGGTTCAGGCAATTCTCCTGCCTCAGCCTCCTGAGTAGCTGGGATTACAGGCACGCGCCACCATACCCAGCTAATTTTTTTTTTTTGTATTTTTAGTAAAGACGGGGTTTCACCATGTTAACCAGGATGGTCTTGATCTCTTGACCTTGTGATCTACCCACCTTGGCCTCCCAAAGTGCTGGGATTATAGGCGTGAGCCACCACGCCTGGCCTAATCTTATGTTCTTAAGTACCTCCCTATACTGTTATTGAAACAAGTTTAAGCTAACCTTCCAGAAAACATAGCCATAATTTATAACTTATTTCTATGTTAAAGTAAATTTTGAGTTGTGATATGGTTGGGCTGTGTCCCCACCCAAGTCTCACCTTGAGTTATAATGATCTCCATGTGTCAAGGGTGGGGCTGGGAGGAGATAACTGAATCATTGGGGAAGTTCCATTTATAAATGGAACTGCACAAGCTCTCTTGCCTGGCTTCATATAAACCGTGCCTTTGCTTCTACTTTGCCTTCTGCCTTGATTGGGAGGCCTCCCCAGGTATGCGGAACTGTGAGTCCAGGAAACCTCTTCCTTCGTAAATTACCCAGTCTTGGGTATGCCTTTATTAGCAGCATGAGAACGGACCAATATAAGTTCCAAACTTATGATTAGAGGAAATTTTCAAAATGCACGTTCTAAGGGAAGAAACTGCCTGGGACCTCCTGATACTGTAAGAGAACTGCAGGCTTCAGTGAAAGACAGTTTATGGGACATCATATAAGTTCTATGTAAAAGGCACTGGAAGGTTAATTGCCACATCATAAGTTCAGGAATCCTAGTTTGGGGGATTGATTGAAATGCGGCTTTTCTTATCTTCCTAATTTATATTGCTAACAAAATTAATCAGTTAAGGTTACTTTAAAAAGCAAGCAAATGCATGTATAGGAGAACTTCTGCTTTTATTTTTATTTTTTCAGATGGAGTCTCACTCTTGTTGCCCAGGCTAGAGAGCAGTGGTGAGATCTCAGCTCACTGCAACCTCCTCCTCCTGGGTTCAAGTGATTCTCCTGCCTCAGCCTCCTGAGTAGCTGGGTTACAGGCACCTGCCACCACCCCTGGCTAATTTGTGTACTTTTTTTTTTTTTTTTTTTTTTTTTTTTTTTTTTTTTTAAGTGGAGATGGGGTTTTGCCATGTTGGGCAGGCTGATCTAGAACTCCTGACCTCAGGTGATCTGCCTGCCTCAGCCTCCCAAAGTGCTAGGATTACAGGTGTGAGCCTTTGCACTGGGTCAAGAACTTCTGCTCTTAAGGAGGAGGAATAAATGTACACTGTCAGGAGCACTTTACCTGTTTCCGTGCTCTTGCTCCCTTTAGAAGATTGCTAAGTCTAACTTCTGTGCCGTGTCTAATAAGAAGACATTGTCGAGCAGTAATTCTTACAACCTTATTTTAAAATTTTTGTGATACATTGAAGTGTTAAATCTTTGCTTTTCATATCTTTTTTTTTTCTTTGTGGTTTCTTCTATTCCTTTTGATATCAGGAAGTTATCTTCTGTTATGGGCTGAATTGTGTCCTGCTAGAATTCACATGTTGCAGTCCTAACCCCCAGTACCTCAGAATGTGTCAGTATTTGGAGATGGAGTCTTCAAAGAGGTAATTAAGTAAAATGAGGTGATGAAGGTGGGCCCTAATTATGTATGAGTGGTGTTCTTATAAGAAGAGGAGATCAATACACAGGCACAGAAGGGAGACCATGTGAAGACAGGGAGAAGTTGGCCATCTACAAACCACAGAGAGGCCTCAAAAGAAACCAACCCTGTGAACATTTTGAACTCAGACTTCCAGTCTCCAGAATTGTGAGAAATTAAGAATCTGTTGTTTAAGCCACAGTCTTTGATACTTTGTTATGGCAGCCCTAGGAGACTAAGACATTGTGTAAGAGTAAGCCCTGGTGACTCCAGCACTGCTATAGAGCTTCTATCCAAAGTCCTATAAGGGCAGTTTATAAACATATTAATGTAATTATAAAGACACTATAAACTTCATGAATTCATCCAACAAACATTTATTGAGCTAGTACTGCACATCAGGTACTGAGCTAAATGGCAAATACAAAAAGATGAGCCCCTTAGTAGCTCAAAATAAATAAGATCCCACATCATCCTCAAGGGATTAATAGTTTAGAGGAAACAGGCACATACAGAGTGAATTTCAATATGATGTGATCACTGATAAGACTGTGGTATGCTCAGTGTGGGTAAGGACCAGATCCTGTGGGAAATTCACTGGGACCTCAAGAGGGCTGTCAGACTGGAGGCCACAGCTAACACAGTTCTTTAAGGAAAAGTGTGGCAGATGGATGAAGACAGACATTTCAGTGACAGGAATGCCACAGACAAAGGCAGAGAAATGGGAAAGTAACTAGTTTGTCAGTTGATAACTGAGAGTTCAGGGTAACTGCAGTTAGAATGTGTATGAAAAAGAGTGGGAGAAGAGATTAAAAATTTGGATTTTAACCTGATAGTGGAAAGCCACCAGAGATTTTTATAGAGAAAAGTCGTGATTGGACTTCGCTTTGAGCATGTTCTTTTTAGTAGTACAAAGAATGAAACAGTATAGGGAGAGAAAGATGGGCTGCAGAAAGGCTGGATGGCAGAGGGAAGCAGGGGAGCCTGAACTGAGGTGGTGGTACCGGTGTGGAGAAGGGCAATCCTGCTTTAGAGATATTTCAGAGGTGAAATTGAATGGGTCTGCTAACCTACATTGTGAAAATGTTAACACTTTCATATGTACTAGCAAGTGAAAAGCACTTCCAAACATAACACAGTATACAGTATTTACTTGTTTTTGTTCTCCCTGTATTAGATGTATAAATAAGTATCATTGTTTCTTTCAACATACAGACTTTCCGATTTAATACACAATTTTTTATTTACTTTTTAAGAATTAAATTCAAAGGAGCTACATTTTCTTGTGATATGCTTAAATTTGGGAACAACTGTTCCTCTAAAAAATACAGTATAATTGGATACAGTTAAATAAATTTTATCTCATCAGAGCGCTTCTGGTATTTTTGTGACTTTTCCAAGTTGGACTTGCAGGAAAGTTATTTGAAACAAGAGAAAGTCTGGGAGAATACACTCTTCTGGATCTAATCTAAGTTTTCTCACTACTCACCTATGTTGGGTACTTTTTTCAGTCTCTCTAGGCCAAGGGTTTCTTATTTCTAAAAGGAGCAATAGATTCCTTGATCCCTAAGACTCCTGCTGACTAAAATTCTGTAACTCTTTCCTCCCAAAAGAACTACTGGTCTTGAATTCTAAAATGCAATTTTTGTTCATGTGTTTTAAAAAGAAGACTACATTTTGCTGAAAAATGTTTCTTGGACAGTATATAAATCTTATTAGATGCTTTTGAGATTCATTCAAAGAACTGAAGCATCGTGCACGTTTAAAACATTGCCAGGCTGGAGTACGGAGGCACTCAGGGGAACGTACTTAAACACCGTAGGTTCAACCAAGTCTTACTGAGAGTAACACAACGAACAAGTGATGCTTTTTGAAACAAATTTGGAGAGTTGGCTGCAGGAAAATTAACAAGCCGGTGGATTTCCTTTTCCGTTCCTTAGGAAACTTGTTTCTGTAGGTGCAAAAAGGGCCCTAGATCCTCTGGAAGAGAAAGAGGAGAGTGGGGAGGGGAAGTTTCTCCGCTTTCTCTACTCCCCACCTGCAGTCTGTCTGATTTCCTCTCCAGCTCTGTCTGATAAGGAATTGATTCTCCCCCTCCTCTTCCCCCTCCCACCCTCCCTCTCCTTCTCCCTGAGTAACGAGGCTGTCCTAGCAAGTGATGCTGTCGGAGACAGGAGACCGGCGCCGAGGAGGCAAAGCTGCGGCCGCGGGACTGGAGATCCTCTCCCGGCACCAGCGCTCCAGCTCGGCCCGGGGCTTCCTCGTCTCAGCCACGGCCGCGGCGGCTGCTACCACGGTTTGATGGTGGGCGGCGGCGGCTCGCCTTCGGCGCCAGCCTCTAACTGCTTGATCGCGGGCCGCGCGGCTCTCCGCTCCTGCCTTCCCGCCCTGGGTCGCCCGGGGCTGCGGAAGCCGCGGGAGGTGGGGAAGGGGCACCGCGGGGAGACCGCACGGCCGCGAAGACAGGGGAGGCCGGCGACCGGCACCCCCATACTCGGACCGCAGCCGGCGCGATGTCCACCAAGGTCAGGAAGTGCAAGGAACAAGCAAGGGTGACCTTCCCCGCGCCGGAGGAGGAGGAAGACGAGGGCGAGGACGGGGGCGTGGAGCCGCAGCGCCGCCGCCGGGGTTGGAGGGGCGTCAACGGGGGACTGGAGCCGCGCTCTGCCCCCTCGCAGCGGGAGCCCCACGGCTACGGCCAGCCGCCCTTCTCCCACGGGCCGGACCTGTGAGTACCGGGCCTGGCCGCGGCCCGCGCCTCGGAGGGCGGTGCCGGGAGGGGGGCGGGAAGGCGCGCGCCCGGAGGCTCCACGACGTGCCTAGGACCTCCGATACCCACTTGGTACGGCCGGGCAGTTCGATTCAGGGGGAAGGGACAGACCTCGGCTGGAGGCTCGCCCCCTCGGTCCCGCGCGGTGGAGGGACTCAGGGGCCGCGGAGTGCGTGGCGGGGGCTCTGTCCCAGCTCAAGCGCACGGAACAGCCCGGAGATGGGCACACGGACGCCAGACAAGCATCCTAGCGAGCAGCCACTCCCTGTCCTAGAGCCGAGGAGCGCGCACGACTGCCGCCAGGGCTGGGCACTCCTTGGAAGTCGGATCCCGGGGTCCCGAGCTTACTCTGGGAGGCCGAGGAAGCGGAAGAAGTGCTCAGACCCAGGCGCGCACTTGAACCCCGAACTCCTCCTAGGCGTCCCAGCGTGTAGCCACTTTGGGAACTTGGTTCCCCTCCGACGCTTGGGACGTCGAGGGCGGGGGCAGGAAAGTGGGGAGTAGGGAGGGCACAGTGCGATACAGGGTGTGGGTTGAAGGTTTGCCCGGACGCCTGGTCTCCCAGGGGATCAGTTACTATTGGGGTAAAGCGGGAGCCGAAGCCCTATAGGATCCCCTAAGGGAGGGAGTGGGCACCGGGCAGCCGGGGAACCGCTTTTTTTGGGTAACTTTGGCTGCGGTTCCCAGGCGGCGCGGGGTCTCTCTCTCTCCCCTCTTTCTCTCTCTTCCTCTTTTTCTAAACGAAGGAGCGGTCGGCGCACTAGTGCTTAGGAAGGAGCAACTTTTCTTAATTTCCAGTCCTGGAGGCAGCCTTTAATCAGTGCGAGACGCAGAGAAGATTAAAAGAGGGTAATCGGTTTCACAGGGTGAGATGCTCTGTATTTTTCCTGTCACGTACACTGGGAGTGCCGCAGAGCTTACTGTCTGTTTTAGGAAGAACGCTCACAACTAGGTAGAGAACTTGGGGTCCAACGGTGGCGGGTGGCGCGGACTGGCGGAGCCGGGGAGATGGTTCCCCAGGGCGGAGACCGAGGTTCTGCAGCGCCCCCTGCCGCCAGCGAGTGGCCCACCGCCCGGGGCCGATACTTACCGAGTGACCCCTAGACCCCAGGATCGTGCGCTGCTCCGCTCGCGCAGAGTCTGCGCCTGGCCTGGCTGCACCTGCCCGCAGGACACAGGAGCACAATGAGTGGCTGGGAGTAGATCCCGTAGGGAAGAATTCTGATTTAAAATGAGCGACGCATCACGATGTGGTTCAGTTATTGCTGAAGATTAGCGTGGAGTGGAAACGGCCCAGGAAATGGAGGGAAGGTATATCCTTTGAGATTAAAGCGCCGCCAGCTCACTTCTCTGTCTCCCTAAGGTTTTAAAACATTGTCAATTTTTCCTTTTGCCAGTTTTTAAAAATAACCTAGCTGTTTCTTGATTCCCTTTAAAATTCTTTTTTAAAAACCTTAAATCCTGACTACACGAGACACCTGAACTCTTATCTGAGAAAGTAGGGCGGAGGAGAGATCACTCACTTTGCTTTCTGAAATTTGAGGTCTATTACACAAAGCCCTGGGGCAAATTCTATTGCAAGCTTGCTATTTCACTGCTAATAGAACATCTTTCGTATAGGTTTGCTAACTTTATAATTCAACAAGCAAATGTGGTGGTGTACTTATTTTGTAGAGGTTGAGAAGAAGACCCAGTCATTTTTAAGGAGCTATACATTAATAAGTATTTCTTCTAGAGGAAGAGCAGCAAGCTCTTCATCTTTATTTCAGGTCTGTTACTTGGTAACATCACAGATTAGCTTGATCTCTGTAACAGCGATTAGCTCTTTATTCTCCCTTTGAGGAGAATATGACCACTGTTTAATAAACAGTGTTTACTTATTGTTGTTTAAAAGTGAATGCGACAGCTCTAGGATAGGCTCAGAGGATACCCAGGGTCACTTCAGTAGGCAGAACAGCATGGCTGAATTTTAAATGCAACAGGATGCTGAGGATACAATCTGGCTTTTACCAAGATAATTCCTCAGGGTAGTTCTGTTGCTCATTTCACTGCTCCATGTTCCTATTTTCCATGTGGAAATTTTAAATAGACTGACTTGGGAGGAAAAGTGTCACCTGCTGTATCACTAACAGCTGTTGATAGAACTCTTGATTCAACCACTGATTCAAACCAAGACTTCTGTATCCCAATTGTTTGCAAACCTAGGATCAAGTAACAAGTCATTGTATTGATGTCCTCATCCTTGAAATGTTTCAGTTATTCAGTATATCTGATGAACTCCAAAAAAGGCATTGGAAGGCAGTTTTCATGAGTCTGAATTTAAGCATTTCTCAAGCATGCATATGTGCAAAGTGTGGGCTAGGTACAGCAAGCCACAAAGACGAGCATGACAACTTTCCTGTACTCAAGAAATTTAAAATCTCATGAGGGAGAGGTGGTAATGAGACTGGGCATGAGCATTTTTGCTATAAGAGTAAAATCAGTTCCATTCTTCAAAACAACAAAGAGTTATAAAGGGTCAAGTGCAAAGAAGAGAAGGACAACATTAGGTTGTGGAGAAATCAAGGAAACCTTTATGGGCCTTGAAGGATAGATAGGACCAGAAGCAGAGACAGGGTAAATACTTAATTCAAGCCCTCTCTCCCCTCAAAATTCCAGGTGTGTTTAAGGAATATTAGTTGAGTTTGGTTGGAACATAGAATATGTGTAGGCAAGCAGTGAAATTTAGCTGGACATGTTGGTTTGAGGCATTAACGTGGAGGATCTTATATGCCAAGATGAGGCACTAGGGAACCATTGATTATTTTAAAGTAGCAGTAATTTGAGCAAACCCACTCTGAATTGCATTGGCAATTAATTGAAAGTGAAGAAACAAATTAGGAGACTACTGTAAGTGTCCAGGCTGAGATTAGACTCTGTAAGAGTGTAGTGTTAGTGGAATGGAAAGGAGAGAAATTGGAGAAAAAAAAAAAACCCAGCCAGAATCTATGGAATTTGCAACTCACTATCCATGAGGGGTTTAAAGAGAAAGCAGGATCAGAGACAACTTAGTGATTTTTGACCCAGATAACTAAGATTGCTGATACTGTTGTTGACAAAAAAAAGCAAAGGTGAAGATCTGATTTTTCAGTTAGTTTTTTTTTTCTTTTTTATTTAGAGGAATAGTGAATGATCAGATATTACTGACAGAGGTGTTAAGCAGGGAAAAGGAAATACAAGTTTAAAGCTCAGGAGAATGTGAGAGGCTGCTGCCTGATGGGAATTGTTACACAGCTGTGTGACTACATGAGATTACTCAATGGAGTATGAAGAGAGAAACAAAGGGAGACCAACATAGATTTTGAGGGAAAATTTTTTTTGTTTAGAAGGCAGGGAGAAAAAGAAAAGAAAAACATCACTGCACACTCAGCAAAAACGGAAAAGATCAAGAGAAAAACTAATGAGTCCACTGTTAGTAAGAAGAATCAGTCCTTGTATGTGTTAACATACATATGCAAAATCATTAGATTTTTCAGCAATGTTATCTTTAACAGAGGAAGATTTCTAGAAAAAAATCTGTTTAGTTTTTCTTCAGAGGAAGTGCTACCAAAAAAAATAGCCATAATAAAAGCAGTTAATTTGTGTTTATATACGACTTCATGTTGTCATTTATACTCATTCATTTGAATCACTCCTCTTTAAAGCAGTTTTTTAAAAATCTTTGTCATCACTAGCAAATGAGGAAATTGGTACACAGAGAAGTAAAGTAATTTTCTAACACTCCCTGGCAAATCAGTAACAGATTTTCTGACACCCACCTTTATATGATCAAGGAACCAAAGGTGAGTCCACAGTGCCTTGTAACTCAGATTACCTAAAGTACCTTGTATGTTAGTTTCTGTGGCACTGGCCTTGTATAAATGTTCCAGTCTTGGCTTCATGTGTGTGTTGGCTCAGGCATCAGATTGGATGCAGCACTTCCCTCCCTCCCAACTCTGGAGTAGAAATCAGATTCTCCAAGTGACTGTTGAATCTTAGGGACAGGAGTCTGGACTTTGAAGACCGAAATTAGACTGACTAGTATTATTAAGAAAGGCAACTTTCTTTACAGTTATAGTTTAATTTTTAAGAATAGCACAGCATGGCATTAGACATAAGGACTTTATTTTTTTAATTCTTTTTTTTTTTTTTTTTTTGAGACAGAGTCCCACTCCGTTGCCTAGGCTAGGGTGCAGTTGTGTGATCATAGCTCATTGCAGCATCAAACTCCCAGGCTCAGTTGATCCTCAAATCTTAGCCTCCCAAGTGACTGGGACTACAGGCACGCACTACTATGACTAGCTACTTTAAAAATTTTTTGTACAGATGAGGTCTCACTATGTTGCTCAACCTGGTTTCGAACTCCTGAGCTCAAGCAATCCTCCTGTCTCTGCCTCCCAAGTTGCTGTGATTATAGGCCTGAACCACCATGCCACTCAGCCTTGAGGCCTTTAATACTCTGAAACTTTTCTTTATATTATCAGTTGTATAACCTAGAGTAGCAATTTCACTATGTACAATGAGTTGTCATTTTTGTTGGTTTGTTTTAAATTATTTTTATGTAATTTCAAAGTACTATATGAATATAGCTTTAAAAGTTAGATAGTGCTAAAAGACTTCTTTGAACAACAGCAAGCCCCCAGCCATTCCTTGGTCCCCTCTCCTTCTCTTTCCATCTTCTCTGCTTCACTCCACTTTCAACTCTTTCATATACAGCTATCTTTTTATTCATATTTCAGATGTTATCAATAGTCTCAGGTGAGAATGTATGTTCACATGTGCCTCTTTTCTGTTAATCTTATTTATGTTCTTCATTAATATGACCATGTAATCATTGTTCACTGCTAAGTCAAGTAGTATGGTATGACTACATTTATCTTCTTTGATAATTGGTTGTTTTTCTTAGAGTAAATATTTGTCACACTGTGCCCTCATTTCTT